CTACTTCTGCTATAGACACCTATGAATCAGTGAGGAGCCTCTTTGCTCCTAGAAACAACTTCTGTCCTTCTTATTTAAAATTTTTTTCTTTATCTCCATTCCTTCGATGTAGCTTTCTGCTAACCAAGGGGTGTGGTACTTGTGTGTGTGAAGATTTCTACACCTACATTTAATCACTATTTTAATGGAATTCATACTTTACTTCAAAGGAAGTGTGAACTAACACGCAGGCTATGTATACTTCCTAATTTTTAGCCTATTAATTCTATTATGTGTCCTTGCTATGCACAGTTCTATAGGCTTGTGTATTTTCAGCTTAATCCAATGACACTGTTTTTCATTAGTGTAAATCCCTTCATCACTCTCCCGCCATTCCACTGGGTCTTAAACAAGAGGACTATATACTAAAGGGGTTGTCACTCCAAGAGGAAATAGACGAGAGAGAAGAGGAGGAGGAAGAGGAGGAGGAGAGTGAGGAAGAAGAGGAGGAGGAGGAGGAGGAAGCACCAGATCAGGTAAGCAGAGCTCTTATGTACACATAAATTACTGATAGTAGAATAATGTAAAATTTACAAATTTGATGGAGTAAAATTTGGTGAATTTGGCAAAATAAGGTCCATTTGACGAAATTTTAGTCTTCAATTTGAAAGGGCTTTCCACATGCACATAGCCAAATTCAAGCTGTTTAGAGACAGTTTGTCCAATTTTATGCTTCAAATTTTGTAGCTATACAGTGATTAGTTTTATTGTGGGAATTGTACTATTATTTGTTGATAAACAAAGTGTATTTCCCTCCTATCTCTCAGATGAATGATTACTATGAAGGTGACAGTGATATAATGGAAGGAAATATGACACCTCCTCCTGTAAGACCAAAGCGCACACACACACATCTAATTATTTATTATATGTAGGAAGTACAGCCACTTCATTTAGGGGACATGACATAATGTATGTGAACAGAAAGACCTGAAAACTTAAACACTGACCAACACACAACTCTAAACAAAGTCTGTGTTAGGAATGAATACATGTATTCACTTCAATTTTGAAATGCACCATATCATATCACTAATGATGTTGATTATTTCATTATTATTCGGTAACATTATTTGGAGGGAAGCGTTGTGCAGCATATCCTGGGTTTGCTATTATTGCTTAACGTTTGTAGAAAGGCCTTTATTATAGTCTATAGCCATCAGATTGGATGTAGAACTGGAAGGGACATGCATGGGAACATTTTCTATGTTTTGATTGATTATATGGAAGTTATCTATCATCATGCAAGACATAAAGCGCTTAGTTTCTGTAGCATCGCATTTATAATGAAACAAACTTAAAATTAATTATCATAATAACAATTATCAAACTGAGCAACTACAATGATAGCTTTTGCTAATACTAGCAGTACCTAATGTACTTCTGCTACCAAAAAAGTTCAATACACTCCTGCTAATACTAAGAGTACCTAATGTACTCTTGCTACCAAAAAGTTCAAGTTCTGAGTTTTTTCTCAAAAGTAAACACTGAGGCTGATCAGCTTAGCTGGTTTGGCAGTGCTACCTCCCCACCAAAAGACAGCTTTTCGTAGAGTGGTAACTTTAAGCCTGTGCCTGTAGCGATGAAGTATACGTCCATTGACAATAATAACCAAATAGGTCTGTTGTGCCTCGACCCTTACGGTGATAGGAACCCCAGAGCTGAAATCAAACCCCCTTGGTCTCTCTTCACGTCCCCAACCCTTCTTTTTATAATATGTATTGAGGACAAAGGCACGAGTATCCCAACGAGGATTAACATGAAGGAGGATGTTACCATATACGTCATAAAGATCCATTGTGGGGCGACCATTGTTTGGAGTAATGTACCTCACTTCAACTGCCCTTCCAACAGAAAATCGAGGAACTGAAATAGAATCAGTGACCCTAGCTTGAATGTTGGAAAGATCTTGAGATCCAGAGGGTTCTGGGATTTTTGGGATCACGTTCAAAAAGGCTTCCATTTGTGTCATTGCTTGGGTCTGCTGATCGTCAACCTCACTTTCCATGGTATCAAATTGAGACTCATCTTCTGTAGCAGCAAACTCAGGCTCATCTTCTGTAGCAGCAATCTCAGGCTCATCTTGCTGATAGAGATTAGCAGCAGATGCTGAAAAGATAAGTAATGCAGAGAGAAACAAGTAAACAAAGGAATGCATTTCTACAGTCAGTGTTTTGTTTAGAGCTATAGTTGCAATTCACTCTGGTTTAGATGGTAAGAGATGATCCTCCTTTTATATAGCAAATGAGATTTCTCAAATTAATAAATTATTAATTCCTTTATGAAACTGCATCATAGCATCACATGATGTACTATTGTTTTTGTTCATTTGTTCACCCATGCCTAAGCTAATTAAATTGTCTATACTATGTCCTAACCAAGTTTGGATCAAGAAAACCATGAAGTTTCATAGATTATTACATTTCTTATTTATATAGTTTTTATATGCACTAGTGAGGTAATATATGCATAATGTATGCATGAAATATTTGTCCTAAAGAATAGCTCAAAATGTAATGCATGCCACATGATGCTGGCAAGGATCTATAGATAAATATCACGAAAACTAAAAAATTCTGTTAGCAAAATTTAATAAGGGCACACTGCATAGTTACACTAATACTATAAAAGTCCTAATTATACTAAAAAAGTTCAGTTCCAAGTCTTTCTCAATAGTAAAGACTGAGGTTGATCAGCCTAGGTGCTCCATTGCTGCTGCCATTACATTTTACCCTCTCCAAAAGTACCAGTTGCAATCCTTTCCCTCTCTTCCTTATAATACCTTGGTCTCACTCTCTCCTCTGCAAGTGCTTAACTCTGAACATTTCATCATTTCTCATGACAAAGTATCTCTCAGGCACTTTCTGATTAATGGAAGGTTCACCACCATCATGGCACCATGCTGTACCCTAGGTCTATGAGAGAAGTTCTGTAAATTTAAGGAATTTGGTAAATTTTAATATTGTTAAACATAATTGTAGACAAAATTCTAATTTTGGTAAGTAGCAAATCTTAGTAGCAATACACTCAATATAAGACCCCTTGCAGGACAATATTACAAGACCCCTTTGCCATACCTCATATCACAGGGTGAGAGACCACTACACAATGGAGGGAGCAAGCTTTTGTACCAGCTGGTGGCTAAAGGACTCAAATTTATACAAACAGAGAAATCATTAGATATGTTCCTATTCTCTATACCAGATACCATACAGTATCGAAAGTTCATCAAACACCAAAGACAATATAAGAGACATAAACAGTATTTTGATTAAAGTAAGGTATGTATGTACATGTAAACAGACAAGTGTATAATGAAACATAATATACCTATGTAGAATACTGCAATTTCAATTGCCATAGGCATAATAAAATAAACTTCATGCACACAAGAATGTACATTATATCATGAAAAGGAAAGAGAAATTGGTCAAATAAACGTTGGCATAAACTACAAATGAAAGTTGGTCAGTGACTCTAATTACTATTGCATTTTATTCTCTTCTCTTGGCTTAGCATTCAATCTGTGGATTAATCTACAACTGGCACATAGTAAACATTACTATTTTCTAATGCATATACATGTACTTTATGTTGAGTAGAAAGTTTGCAAGCTGATTCCAATCGAATTTTTAAATTTTCTCTAAAAATGGCTAGTGCAGCTGTACTACAGTACAGGGTATCACCATTCACCAGTTTTAATGACTACTGAAATTTCCTACCAATCTACAGGATAAGTTTCTCCACTAAATATACCAACCATAATTATAAATAATAGTAATAGTAACAATGATAATAATAATAATAATACATTATCTTAGTGCTGGCATAAACAACATAATGAAAGTTGGTAAATGATTGTATCTACCATCATATTTCATTGCCTTTTCTTGGCTTAAGCATAATGAAAGTTGGTAAATGATTACCTTTACTATCATATTTCATTGTCTTTTCGTATTCTCTTGGCTTAGCATTCAATCAGTAAATGTACTGTTGTGTTCATTTGGCAAACAGAAACACAAGTACATTTTCAATCAATAACAATCAATATACATGTACATGTACATAGTCACAGGTCACAGAAGTGGCAATTAAATGAGTGGGAGGTGTTTGGTATTCGGGTGCGTCTCTATACCTACTGACAGAGAAGTCTGTTGTGTGTGATTGAGTGAAAGTTCTCCATTCTGCTACCATGATAGGCTAAGAATGTACCATATATATACTCTGAGGCTGTCCTCTACCATTTCTCCTCTCTCTCTCTCTCTCTGAGGAATATTATTACTTAAAGAAACAATATGGCTGAACTGTATGAGCAAATACTGATGTCTGGGACTCAATTAATGAAAACTAGAAAGAAGAGGAAGAAGTAAGTAGTTCGTTATTTATTTTAATGCTTGCTATAACATGTACATGTACATCAAAGCAGTACATTACCTCATGCCCAGGTTTATAAGAGTCTAAATCCTTTGGTACATATAATGTAAGAAAGTAACATGATACCTCTATTATCCAGTGAGTCTAGTTGTTACAGTGCTTCATTAAGACTGGGTATAAGTTTTTAAAAACCTTTCTCTGGGAAGAAGAGTAACACACGTACATGTAGATTATAAAATGGTGCATTACAAAATGAAATATATATAAATATAGTGAATTTCTTCAAAAACTAATTTGAAAGGTTGCCCACAATACATGTACATGCTCACAGCCAAAAAAATTAAAAATTAATTGACATGGGCAGAGCAAGTTGTAAGTATATAGTGGGTGGGATAATGACTAACAAGATCAATCATTATCATTATTATTATTGTTATTATTACTATGCTTACCAATCCGTCAATGTCTTTGTCGCCATTACTCAACATAAACTGGTTTGGATATGGCTCTTAGTACAGTTTCATGACAATATGTCGCATCATGTAACTGATCACTTTGAATTGTAGTAAGCCAGTAGTGTCAAAACCATCTTTAGACATAATGTACTTCAACTAGTCAGTAGATATGAATAATGATTTACATTAACACACTTGTACCCTAACATATTATATAGTTAGACATTATATACTTAGAAAAGGGCAAGGCTACTTATAGAATTGTATGTAACCACTAACCAACTCTATCATCTAAAAACTCCCTCTCTCTCTCTTCTTTTACCTATTATAGTTTTATAGACTTCTCCCTGTGTTTTTCATTATTTAACTTTACAGTGCAACATAAAGTATAGACAGACGGAGAAGAACAATGAAAGTACAGTAGAAACACTGATGGTCTGACATAGGACACAATGTTAGCCAGGAAAAGAAGAGAATACAAGAAAGTGGACACACACAAAGCCTGGCCTGCACATAAACAAGTGGACATGAAAAGAAAAAAAAGACAGGCAAAAAGCACATACAATTTAACAACATATAAATTAGTATATACATTTGTTTTTAATAAACTATCATTAAATGTTAATAGCCTAAGGTCAGCTATTGCACCTTACAGTTCAGTTATAGTGGAGGCGTAGATAGGTTTCTTAGCTGTCCTTGTAAGATGGTAATGAGGCACATCAAGAGGTCCATTGATCACAGCCTGAGGCTGTAGTTTGTATATTGATTTCAATAAAATATAGTTATACAGTTGCAATGAACTTTGTCATCAATAATTGACACATACCTTTAATGATTTAAATATACCCTGATTCATAATCTAGTCTATAATAATAATTATACCTCATTAAACACAAAATGCTTATTTCAATACTTTAATGTACATCTTCTTATCAATTTCTATTTTGATTATTGCATTTAGTTATACAACAAGGAGCAATTGATTAAAATAATACAATACAAAATTAAACCTTCCCATGCATGCATGCATGCATATTCACAACTTGTTTATGATCAAAGTTTGAACAAAGAACCACCAGCTTACTAACCAGATTTATACCTAAAGTATTTAAGTATAGAAGAAACAAATTGATTTAAAAGTCTTAGATCAAACTCCTTCTCGTTCTTACATTTCTGAATTTTTGAATTTGCCTTTAGGATTTTTTCTAGTGACTCCTTATATCTCTGCTCTCCTTAGCAAACTCAAAATGAATTGCCCTCTTATAATATCACCATCTTGCTCATTTTAACCACCCCAATGACTGTAGGCTGGGGAATGGTCTGACTAGCGAGACTACCCAGACAGATTTATAATTATAGTGGGTCTAACTCATGCTTGCTCCAATTTTGCAAGTATGTCATCTACATGTACATGGGGCTATTTTTTCTGGTCACATACATCTATGTGACCAGAAAGACCAGAAAATTTAAACACTGACCAAGACTCAAACTCTAAACAAAGTCTGTGTTATGAATGAATACATAGATGTAGTCACTTCAATTTTGAAATGCCCAATCATACCATTGATTGTTTCATTATTATTTGATAACATTATTTCCAGGGAAGCATTGTGCAGCATATCCTGGGTTTGCTATTATTGCTTAATGTTTGTAGCTCATTTTGCATAAAAATAAATGATTGTGTTATTGTAGTCAATGTTTTGTGTTTGGAATGAATGCAAACACACAAACATTCAAAATTATGATTATCAATGCATGTGAGAAATAGATTCAATTGAAAGAAAAAACAAACATAATATTATATACATGTGAATGTAGAAAATAATTATAGGAGATGCTATTAAGTAATAAGTACACTAGCACTTCTAACTGATGTGAATTGAACCATTATTCTACATCTGATGTGAATTGGCTTTGATGCTCATTACAACCAGGCTTTATATGGTTTGAATGCTCCATATGGTATTCATCAGGAGTCCATAATGTGGGGTTGTATTTAGTTAACCAATGGCAGCTGAATCAGAAATACTATCAAAATATACAAGATTTTAAAGATAATGTGGAATCACTTGATGCATCCTATGTGCATCAGTTTTAAACCAGTTCAAACTGCATTGCAACCATAGAAAGGCCTTTATAATAGTCTATAGCCATCAGGTTGGATGTAGACCTGGAATGGACATGCATGCATAGGAACAATCTCTATGATTGGATTGATTGTATGTAAGTTACATGTATTTATCACCATGTATGACGTATTAGTAATTAGTTTCTGTAGCGTCGCATTTATAATGAAATGAACATAAAATTTATTATCATAATAATTATTATCAAACTGAGCAACTACAATGATAGCTACATAATGTACTCTTGCTAATACTACCAAAAAAAGTTCAATACACTCCTGCTAATACTAAGAGTATACCTAATGTACTCTTGCTACAAAAAAGAGTTCAAGTTCTGAGTTTTTTCTCAATAGTAAACACTGAGGCTGATCAGCTTAGCTGGTTTGAAACTGCTACCTCCCCAATGAAAGATAATGTGGCGCAGAGTGCTGATATTAAGCCTGTGCTTGTAGTAATGAAGAATACGTCCATTGACAAGAATAGCAAGATGAGAGTGAAGTGCCTCGACCCTTACGGTGATAGGAACACCAGAGGTGAAATCAAACCCACTTGGTCTCTCTTCACGTCCCCAACGCTTGTTATGAAATGTATTGAGGACAAAGGCACGAGTGTCCCAACGAGGATTAACATGAAGAAGGATGTTACCATGTGCGTCATAAAGATCCATTGTGGGGCGACCAGTGCTTGGAGTAATGTACCTCACCTCTACAGACCTTCCAACGAAAAAACGAGGTAGTGAAATAGATTCGGTGATTGTAGCTTGAACCTTGGAGAGATCTTGAGATCCAGAGGGTTCTTGGACTTTTGGGATCACATTCAAAAAGGCTTCCATTTGTGTCATTGCTTGGGTCTGCTGATCGTCAACCTCACTTTCCATGTCATCAAATTGAGACTCATCTTCTTCTGCAGCAGCAAACTCAGACTCATCTTGCTGATAGAGATTAGCAGCAGATGCTGAAAAGATAAGTAATGCAGAGAGAAACAAGCCAACAAAGGAATGCATTTCTGCAGTCAGTGTTTTGTTTAGAGCTATAGTTGCAATTCACTCTGGTTTAGATGGATAAGAGATGATCCTCCTTTTATATAGCAAATGAGCTTTCTCAAATAAATAACCTAATTCCTTTATGAAACTGCATCATAGCATCACATGATGATGTGCTATTGTTTTTGTTCATTTGTTCACCCATGCCTAAGCTAATGAAACTGTTTATACTATGTCCTAGCGTTTGGCATGAACTTTTATAGAAATGTGGGTTATTACATTTATTATACAGTAGTACATGACTGTGTAAGAACAAATGTTTAATAAAAATAAAGATATTTAGAACAAATATTGCATGTATAATAATATGCATGAAATATTTGTCCTAAAGAATAGCTCAAAATATAATGCATGCCTGGCAAGAATCTATATATAGTTCTGGTAGACATAGATAGTATGAAAACTAAAACAATCTGTTATTAAAAATGAAAAGGTAAAGTCTGTGTTAGGAATGAATACATAGATTTAGTCACTTCAATTTTGAAATGCCCAATCATACCATTGATTATTTCATTATTATTTGATAACATTATTTGTAGAGAAGCGTTGTGCAGCATATCATGGGTTTGCTATCATTGCTAGCTCATTTTATATAAAATATAAATGATTGTGTTATTGTAGTCAATGTTTTATGTTTGGAATCAATGCAAGCACACAATCATGCAGAATTATGATTATCAATGCATGTAAGAAATATAGATCGATTCAATAGAAAGAAAAACAATCATAATATTATATACATGTCAATGTAGAAAATAATTACAGTAGATGCTATTAAGTACACTAGCACTTCTAATGCACATTGAAACATCATTCTACATCTGATGCAAACTGTCTTTGATGCTCATTACCACAAGGTTCCATATGGTTTGAACCACTCAACTCCATATGGTATTTATTAGATAACCAAAGGCAGCTGGATCAGAGGCTCCATATGTTATAGATAACTAATGGCAGCTGGATCAGAAATACTTTAAAACCAGTTCAAACCACATTGCAAGTGTAGAAAGGCTTTTTACCGTATAAGTGGTTTTTTTGAGGGAATTATATTTCGCGAAATCTGCTAAAATTCCAATTCGCAGATTTTAACTTCGCGAATCCTACGACGTGTGCCATGCGGGTACGGTATTAAATTGATTTTCGCGGATTTTATTTTCACGAATTAGGAGGGAATCCACGAAATTCACAAAATTTGCAACCCTCGAAAAAACCACTTATATGATATAATAGTCTCTAGCCATCAGACTGGATGTAGACCTGGAATGGACATGCATGGAAACATTCTCTGTTTTGATTGATTGTATGGAAGCTATTTATCATCATGCATGACATAAAGCGCTTAGTTTCTGTAGCATCACATTTATCATGGTAATGAAATGAACTTAAGATTTATTATCATAATAATTATCAAACTAAACAACTACAATGATATAGCTACACTCTTGCTAATATAATACTAAAAGTACATAATGTACTCTTGCTACCAAAAAGTTCAAGTTCTGAGTTTTTTTCTCAATAGTAAACACTGAGGTTGATCAGCTTAGTTGGTTTGAAACTGCTACCTCCCCAATTAAAGGCAATGTGACGTAGAGTGTTGATATTAAGCCTGTGCCTGTAGTGATGAAGTATACGTCCATTGACAAGAATGACAAAATGAGAGTGATGTGCCTCGACCCTTACAGTGATAGGAACACCAGAGCTGAAATCAAACCCGCTTGGTCTCTCTTCACGTCCCCAACGTTTGTTATGAAGTGTATTGAGGACAAAGGCACGAGTGTCCCAACGAGGATTAACATGAAGAATGATGTTACCATGTGCGTCATAAAGATCCATTGTGGGGCGACCAGTGCTTGGAGTAATGTACCTCACCTCTATGGACCTTCCAATAAAAAAATGATTTATTGCAATAGATTCAGAGACTGTAGCTTGAATGTTGGAAAGATCTTGAGATCCAGAGGGCTCTTGGACTTTTGGAATCATATTATAAAAGGCTTCCATTTGTGTCATTGCTTGGGTCTGCTCTTGATCCTGATCGTCAACCTCACTTTCCATGGCATCAAATTGAGATTCATCTTCTGTAGCAGCAAACTCAGGTTCATCTTGCTGATAGAGATTAGCAGCAGATGCTGAAAAGATAAGTAATGCAGAGAGAAACAAGCAGACAAAGGAATGCATTTCTGCAGTCAGTGTTTTGTTTACAGCTATAGTTGCAATTCACTCTGGTTTAGATGGTAAGAGACGATCCTCCTTTTATATAGCAAATGAGATTTCTTAAATAAATAACTTAATTCCTTTATGAAACTACATCATAGTATCACATGATGTGCTTTTGTTTTTGTTCATATGCTTATTAGTAAGTGAATTGAAATGTCTATACTATGTCCTAACTGAGTTTGAGTCAGGAAAATCATGAACGTTTTTAGAAATGTGGGACAGGATAAGTTTTTTAAAAAGGATCCCATTATCACTATTGTACAATAAATGTAATATACAAATGTAATTGGTCAACATTTAAGCAATTGTTGCTGTATCACATATGACTGATCTGACTCCTATTTTTAATATACATTTGTGAGATAATACATGCATGAAATATTTGTCCTAAAGAATAGCTCAAAATATAATGCATGCCACATATAATGCTGGCAAGGATCTATAGTATGCATAGGCATTATGAAAACCAAAAAATTCTATTAGCAAAAATACTATAAAAACCAAAAAAATTCTATTAGCAAAATTTATAGGGTAAACTGCATACACTAATGCTATATTAGTGCTAATACTACTAAAAAGTTCAGTTCCAAGTTTTTCTCAATAGTAAACACTGAGGTTGATCAGCCTAGGTGCTCCATTCCTGCTGCTACCTCTCCAGAAAACGTTAACTCCACGAAGAGTAGTAACATCAAGCCTGTGCTTGTAGTGATGAAGTATACGTCCATTAACAAGAATGACCCAATGGGTCTGTCATGCCTCGACCCTTATGGTCATAGGAACCCCAGAGCTAAAATCAAACCCACTTGGACTCTCTCCACCTTCCCAACACTTATTATAATATGTAAAGAGGGCAAAGACACGAGTGTCCCAACGAGGATTAACATGAAGAATGACATTATAACTTGCATCTACAAGATCCATTGTGAAGCGACCAGTGCTTGGGGTAATAAACCTCACCTCCACGGACCTTCCAACAGCAAAATCAGGCACTAAAATGGATTCCAAACCAAAGGTGCCAACTGTAATATTAACTACAGAGGCTTCACGTTTTGTCATCTCTTGGGTTTGGTTTTGATCTTGCTCATCAAGCTTGTTCTCCATGTCATCAATAGCAAACTGAGACCTATGCTTCTCCTGATAGACGCGAGCTCCAGATGCTGAAAATATAATGAGTGCAGAGAAAAGAAAGAGTACACTGGAACACATTTTTGTGGCAAGAGTGATTGAAAGTAATGTTCACTAACAGAATAAACAAACAAAACTATATGAAGAGACACACAACTCTCCCCTCCTTTTATAACAAGTGAGGCAATTGGCTTTTTTACGTCACATAATGAATGGGCAGTTTATTATAGCTGTGGGAATAGTGATATGTTAATTTGAGTATACCTTCTACTATAATTGGATTATAGAACCACATTAATGAATGATTTTAGAATATCATTTAATTTAGCTTTTAGAAGTCTTACATTGGTTTGAGTTCCCATGAATCCAATTATTCTGAGCTAACAGCATGCTTCATGATTGGAATACAGTACATGGCATTTTAGTAAAAAAATGGAGAAGTTGAAGTCTCTTATAGCCACTGATTTTATGGCAAAATTTGGCTAAAAATTGTCTTTAAGCAGCTTTAAAAATTTGTAAAAAATCCAAATTCAATCGGAATCAGCTCAAAGTTGATGCACAACATAAAAACATTTATATGCATAAAAAAATGATGAAAATTGAGAATCCTCTCCTTGCAATGTTTGGCAAAACTTGGCAAAGCCTTTGATTGTTGATGATTTTTGAGCATGTGCTTTTAAAATTTATAAAATAATCCAACCGTCATTAAAATCTGCTCGAATTATCTACACAATATAAGAATATGTATATGTATCAGAAGAAAAATAAAATTGAGAATTCTCTCCTTGTGATTTTTGTCAAAATACAATGTCTCCTTCCCCATTTTTGAGCCACTTGAAATCCACTGACAACTTGAGAAGCTATATGAGCATTACGCCAACATCCTATGGAAAACCCAGTCCGACTGTTTCATAAAATGACAGATCAAATTAAGCAATGTTCCGACACAATATCTGAACAGCAATCTCAGGCTCTGCACTACTGAATCCATACATACATGTACGAGTATACTCATACAACACATGCAGAGCACTCAGCATAGTATTACATGATGACTAAGTGTACATGCATGCCTGCAGCACAATCATCATCCAAAGCCTATAAAACTCCCCTTGTATGATCTAAGAAACTTCACATAAACCATGCACTTAAAAAACTCCCCATGAACTTGCATGAATCACAAATAATGCTATGTAATGGTTGTGTAGTATTCATTATTTTTGGCTCTTACATTGGAAGCGGGTAATTTTTTAAGTGCCTGCATGGTTTATGTGAAGTTGCTTAGATCATGCAAGAAATCATGCACTTAAGAGTTTAATCTGATTGCCTGCTTTTATGAGAACAATTACGTGCATGTACATATGATTATGTTACAACTGATATAGGAATTATGATGTCACCATCACTTATTACTTAACACACTAAATCTGATGCTAATTAGCTTTACTATACTGCAAGGGTCAATTGTCTTAGCCTGGGTGTGGGTAATTTTGGAGAGAATAAATATTGGCAAATTTGGTGTTTTAATAGACATCCGCCAAAATTAAAACCCACCAATCACCAAAATTTTAGCAATTTACCAAAATTTCTCCCCTACAAAATTACTCGCTATTCATACAGCCTGTATTAACTTTGTTCACAACGTGCATGCTGAATATGAATTTGCCTTTGCATAATAATGATCTGATTGATAAATTAAAACTAACAAGCCATCATCTAAACAGAGTAAGAAATATTATGATTAAAGTATCTGATATTATCAACTACAGAATTAAGAAAATTAAATGAGAATTGCCTCATGCATGAACCAATGGCTATATAATGCTTGGAGATTATGAATCAGACTCCTTGGGAGAACGAGGATTTCTAGGAGAAAAAGGGCTAATATAAAGAGTACCAGGATTCCATGGAAAAACAGGAACAACAGGAGCAAGAGGAATAATAATAGGACCATGACCAATAGGACCCCCCATTGGGCCACGAGGGCCAGGAAGCCAAGTATCAATAGGACCACCAGGATTAATGGGGCCAATAGGAGCAAAGCCTGGGGGACGTGGGCGTCTGCTAAGATGAGGTGGTTCTGGTGGGACTGGTTCCGGTGGCTGTGGACCAGAGCCTGGATGAGGAGCTGGATCAATGGAGTCAGAACCAGTTCCATGGTAAGGATCCATAACTGGATAAGCTGATATCATGACAATAACAGCACAGAGAACATAAAATATCTTGAGACAAGACATACTGATAATTGAACTCATTGTAAGTTTCACTTTCTTTAGATTAAATACATGATTGGCACAAAACTTAATATTATTGCAATGCTCAAGATTAGTTTGGCAGGAGCAATGCTTGTAGTTTTTTTGCTACAATTATAAACAGAAAGTGATTGATTGCTTTCTTAAGGCATGCACTGCTTGATTTTGTTGCAATAATTAATGAAGTACATGTAGGCAATGTGACTTTAAAAGTATATCTACTACCATTTTAGTTCTACTATAGCTGGTGTGGTATCCATTATAGTACAATTGTTGAACGTATAGTCCCTTGAACTGATAATAGCAACCAAAATCATTTTTTAAGAAAAAATAATTTTGCGATCAAAAAAAGAAGAAATAAAGTAAAAGACAAAAAAGAGTTGCTTATTTCAATCTTCATGTTGCAGTAAAACCTTTATGATAATGATTTAACCTACATTGTCCATGTATGGATGTGCATGGAAACATTAAAATAAACACATTACTCCAGAACTCACTCCTTCATGAACAGTAAGCCAGTAACACAGAAAAAACAATTAGTCAGAGTACTTAGTTTACTAAACCTTACTATTAATAATATACAGTACATGCAAATGCATCAATCCATACAGTATGCACTAGTTTGAGTACAATAAATGTATGTATATAGTAGATACAGGAAAAGAGGGTTGTACATGTACCTGTATAACAAAGCCTTCCCTTGATCGTTTCCCAGTGCCATGTAATGACTGTCTGATGAGAAGCTGTGACAATAAACATTCTTTAACGGAGTCTTCTGTGACGGCCAATTGGAGAAGACACTCAATGAAGGAATGTGAAGCTATAAAGGTGATTGCAAAGACATAAAGACTTGATTATAATGAATTAATTAAGATAAAACAGTAAAGTAAAAGCACAAAGTAGAGTAGGGATATAAATGAAAAAAATAAAGTAATTGAAATAAAATTTAGGAAAAAAAAAATTTGGTTAGGTAATGACTCTGCCCTCAGAAAGAGCCAATGAATTACCCTCTTATTCTGTTTTAAATCTCTCTCTCCCTCTCCTTCCCTCCCTCCTCTCTCCCCCTCCCTCTCTCTCACTCGCATACCAATTTAAAGGCTGACGCCTTAGTATTTGAAGACATAGCCAATATCTCACTACAAGGAAACAGAAATATAATAGTCATACGATGAAGGCAGAGGCCAACAAAATTAAGTTTCTAAATGACAATACTCACTTTGAGTGGTTGAACTCCACTGAGCTAATGCTAGTAGTAAGATTCATTATTGACTTCAGAGGCTTTGGTTTTACATTTACAAAGCAGGACGACCACTCGTAGAGATTGACCACGCCCGAATCTGAACCACAGGCAACATAAGAGCCGGAGGGAGATACCCTGAGGGAAGTTCCCTTTATGCAGCCGTCATCAGTGAAACGATGAACACAGTCACGAGAGTGAAGGTCCCACACGTACACATGACCATCAGCTGGAAATGAAAATAGGGCAAATTGAGGAAATCAAGTAAATATTGGAGAAGAGAAGGGGAGGCTTGAACAAACTCTATTTGCATAATGAGGATTTCAAATTACTAATTCTTAGCATTTTTAATTCAATGGCTAGTGAAAATAAAATACATGTACATGTAATTTATTGGATTTTAAATTAAGGAGACACTGTTTATTTGGAGGTACTGTAGGGCACCTTTTTTCGAAGGCTGTAAATTTGTGGATTTTGCAATTTTTAAAAAATTCACGAAAATTACTTCCAGGAAAATCAAATTAATACAGTACAAGATGGTAGACGGCCACAAATTTGCAAAAATTAAATTGGCAAAGTAAAAATCCACGAAATCTATAGCACTCAAAAAAGGCCACTATGGTACAATCTAGAGCATATGTATGAGTTATTACACAATATGACATACTTCCAGTTGATAGGAGATAGTTGCTGTCTGGACTAAAAGCAACGTCAGTGACTTGACCATTCATCTTAAGGTCAGCAATCCACTGCTTGGTCTGATAATAATGGGAGAAAGAGGGAGAGAAGAATAAAAAGTGAGTACTACATGTATTAATCAATGTCTTTATGTCATGCTATGAGTTACATGTATAAGTATAACAATAGCCTAAAAATTGGCTTCAAAAAGTATACAATTTCATAATTTTTTCTAATACACACCAAAGGCTTTATCAGACACTATTCAAGCATAAATTAAATTGCAATAATAATTACATTAGATTATTGCTAATACATGTACTTGTACTTGACTACTTAATAACTGACTTTATTAGAGACAAGAGGAATGAAGCCATCTTTACTGATGAAAGCAAGCAGCTGGTTGTCAGGAGATACACGGAATGAACTGAATACAGTCTTACTGTGACCTTAAGATAATAAGAGAGAGAGATGAGTACTCTTGACTCTACCATGAAACTCATGAATGTATAACTATTGTATTAAAACAGCTAATTTTGGCCTGATTTTGGAGCAACTTTAAAAATTTGTAAAAAATCAAATTTTGATCGGAATCAGCTCAAACTAGCTACACAACATAAGAACATGTATATCTATCAGGAAAAAATATAAAAATTAAGAATTCTCTCCTAGTCATTTTTAGCGAAATTTGGCCAATGACCCTGTACTATAGTACAGAGACTTTGGCCTGATTTTGGAGCAACTTTAAAATTTGTAAAATTTGATTGGAATCAGCTACACAACATAAGAACATGTATATCTATCAGGAAAAATTATAAAAATAAGGAATTCTCTCTTTTTCAATTTTGGCAAAATTTGGCTCAGAACCATGTACTATAGTACAGTGTAGGAGGGAACTGAGCCCTTAAATAAACATTTTTTTTAACAAAATAGATATAACACAGGGATAAATAGTAGGTTAAAAAAAGAGATATAATAACGGAAATAAGTGAGAGAAAAATAATAAATAAAATGAATAGGTTAGGTTAGGGTAAGACGAGCTTCTGAGATAGCTCTGCAGAAATCGTTTGAATCAAATGATCTCATTCTGGAGCGAGATCCCCTTAAGCACCTGATTGCTGCTTTGAGAATAGCGAAAGAGTATCAACAGCGAATCAGGTTAATGGTGACACTATAGGACCTCTGAAACTTCTCTGAGTGAAGTGTTGCTAGGTGCTTAATAAACAGAGCTGACACAGGGCCAAATCCCCCAGAAGTTGAAAAGACCAAAGGTGAGAAGCAGCCTTTGGCCTGATTTTGGAGCAACTTTAAAAATTCTTAAAAAATCAAATTTTGATCGGAATCGGCTCAAACTTGCTACACAACATAAAAACATGTATATCTATCAGGAAAAATATAAAAATTAAGAATTCTCTCCTAGTCATTTTTGGCGAAATTTGGCCAATGACCCTGTACTATAGTACAGGGACTTTGGCCTGATTTTGGAGCAACTTTAAAAATTTGTAAAAAATCAAATTTTGATCGGAATCGGCTCAAACTTTCTACACAGCATAAGTACATGCATATCTATCAGGAAAAAATATAAAAATTAAGAATTCTCTCCTTAAAAAAATTCGTAAAAAATCAAATTTCGATCGGAATTGGCTCAAACTTTCTACACAGCATAAGGACATGTATATGCATCAGAAAAAATTATAAAAATGGAGAATTCTCTCCTAGCCATTTTTGATGAAATACCCTGTAAAGAGACTTTTACCAATTTTAGAGCAACTTTAATGAAGACACATACTGTACATGTAACAAATGAACATGAGACACATACAAGTGTAGGCTGCATAATTACCTTTTATTTCGTTGATCATTATTATCTTTCCTGACATCATGTCAAACACATAGAACCAGTGTCTCTCCCCAGCCATTATGACCTCTGTGCCATCAGAGCTGAAGTGAGAGGTCAGAATAGGAAACCTTTGAAGATGGACGCTCTGGAGTAAAGGATTAGAATCACCATCAACCTGGGAGAGAAATTAAAAGGGAAGGAGGGAGAGAAATTAAAAGGGAAGGAGGGAGAGAAATTAAAAGGGAAGGAGGGAGAGAGGGAGAGGGAGAGAGGGAGAGGGAGAGAGGGAGAGAGAAAGAGGGAGGGAGAGAGAGAGAGAGGGAGAAGGAGGGAGGGAGAAAGAGAGGGAGATGAGTAATAATAAAAAACAAATTTAAGAGAGTGTACCTGGAATAGACTAAGTGTCTTATGTCTACCAGCTGTCAGGATGACATGAGCTGATGGATGAAACTCCAAAGACTGCAACACAGCCTAACAAATAACAAAACAAATGATAACAAACCATTATCCAATCAATAAACCAATCATCACACAATTTAATACAGTAGGGCATCTTTTCTTTGAGGGCTGTAAATTTCACGAATTGGCTTAAAAATCTATTTTGCGGATTTAATTCTCGCAAATTTATGCCATCTGCTATCTTGTACCATAATAATCTGATTTTTGTGGAAATAATTTTCTTGAATCTTCAAAAAATCGCGAAATCCACAAAATTTACAGCCCTTGAAAAAAGTGCCCTACGGTAGTGATAATTATATCAAGCACTAATGACTTAATAGTCTTGTTAGTGAGACCGACCTTTACTACCTAAAGTCATTTGGTTAGCTGAGACTAATGAATTATAAATATCAACTTCCTGGCTGCTAGACTAGGAGGATATTATACAATAAGTACTCCTCCTGTGATCTCATGCTAAGATAGGATGCACTGAGGCCTCTCTACAGTAGGTCAGACATACAGAGACAAAGTTTCAGTTAAAAAGAAACTAATGCTTTCAAGGCTCTAGCTAACCTACACATAGCCACAGCTGGGTTTCAAAAAGATTGAAAGTATAAATGCATCGCTATTTTTTCTGGCTTGGGTCACTTTGAATGGGGAGCATCACAACACTGGATAATAAGATCATAACAAGTGGTGGTATGATAGCCTCAAGGACAAACTGGAGCATATAAAAGAGAAGAGTAGAGACAGCTAACTCCATCCAGTGATAATCTAGAGATCATATAGTCCCTAGCTACACTGATTCAAGAGATATCATGGGATATATTAAGATGATTCTATTACTGGCTCTTTTTAGTTCAGTTCTGGCAAGTGACATTGATCTCCTCACACAAGGGAATGGCAATGCATGTATGTTGCATAAAAACAACTAAAATTTAAATTCTTTAAGACATCTAAAACTTTAACTCTCTCTCTCTCTCTCTCCATACTTATAGTTTGCACTGCACATGATTGCAAGGAACTGTATGAACATGGACATACCTGCAGTGGAGTGTACACTATCAAACCTGATGAACTACCTCCATTTAAGGTAACCCAAAGCAATACATACTGTATAGTGGGAAATTTTGGAGGAGATTAAATTTGGCGAATTTGGCATTTTGATAGCCATTTGCCAAAATAAAAATCTGCCATTTTGAGTCATTATATGCATGCTCAACGGCACGTGGTCAAGAATCCACCAACCACCAAAATTTAGCAATTCGTCAAATTTTAGCCCTTCCAAAATTTCCCACTATATGGTACTTGTTTTGCATACATTCTACATAAAATGCATTTGATATTATTTGGTAGGTTTATTGTGATATGAGTAATGGTGGTGGTTGGACTGTATTTCAAAGGAGAATGGATGGCTCAGTTAACTTTTATCTCAAATGGGCCGACTACCAAAAAGGATTTGGAGATCTCAATGGAGAGTTCTGGCTGGGACTTGATAAAATACACCGACTCACAGCAACCGGCAATACTAGCCTACGTGTTGACCTAAAGGACTTTGCCAATGTGAAAAAGTTTGCTCAATACTCTTCATTCAGTGTAGGGAATCCTCTCACAAAGTATAAACTAAAGGTAGGAGGATACAGTGGGGATGCTGGAGATAGCTTAGCTCCACAAAACGGGAATGGATTCACTACTAGTGACAATGATAATGATCAGTGGGATGGTAACTGTGCCACTCAGTTCAAAGGAGCATGGTGGTACTTTAAATGTCATAATTCAAACCTCAATGGACAGTACCTGACGGGCACACACAAATCCTATGCTGATGGAGTGAACTGGGACAGTTTCCGAGGTCTCCATTATTCATTGTATGTCACTGAGATGAAGACTCGGAGGAATTAAGACAAGGTTTTGTGGACACTTTAAAAGCAAACTTCGTTGTAGTTTTTAGCAATTTTAGTATTTTTGCTTAGTTTTTTCTTTAAAATGAATCATTTGCAACTCATACCAAAATGAAAAATCATGATTTGAAGTTACTGCAAATTTCTCATATGGCATTTTGATAGCATTTGTAACCACTGATTTGCACATGCTCAACAATACATGTACATGACCACAAATCTGCTAAATCACTAAAAAACTTGAACAATTTGCTAAAACTTTACTCCAACGCCTTTTTTCAAAGGCTATAAATTTTGCGGATTTCGCCATTTTTAAAAAGATTCACAAAAATTACTTCCGCCAAAATCAAATTAATATGGTACAAAATGGCAGACGATATAAATTCACAAAATTAAATCCGCAAAATGAAAATCTACGAAACTTATAGTCCCAAAAAAGGCGCCTTACGGTATGCTCCTACTGTAAGTTAGTAAATACTAAGCCTCACTTGAGCTGGTTTCTCCTTATTGGCTTGTCCCATTGGTTTGATGTCAATGGTTTCTCCTGGTAACCGGGACACACGTCCAGCTAACAGACGACCAGTCCCAGCTAATAAATTATCCTCCTCCTCTTCCTCTCCTTCACTATCAGAATCCACACTAGTATCTATTAAAGACAATTAATGTGACATTAATACAATAATGCTTATAAATATATTAAGTGTGTAATGTATAAAATTTATAAATTACCTTTGGAGCGTTTCTTCTGAGGTATGCTAATAGACCATTCTGGCTCCTTGGTTATCTTCTGAAACCTAGAAGTGTAGGACATCCAATAATTTTATTTAATATAAAAATTATAAATAATAATAATAATTATCATTAATTTACCATCATACCTATCTCTCAGTCGAGACGAAAATTCTCGTCCACTGACAACGTCTTCATCAGCAGTTTTACGCAGTTGAGTCAAATCACTCTTTTTGAGATCAATCCTGAAAAAAGATCACGTGATCATCACTCTATCATCATAAACACACTTTATGACGTCATCATCTTCATCAAACCAGACTGGTGCTGCTTTCCTGGGCCGCTTATTTTCACTTTCCTCTTTATCATTACTCTCAGGAGACTCCCCGCGCCTCTCCTAAAGTTTAAAAACAATATTAGACTAGGTTGGATAAAGCTGAAGGCCACGTACCGACTTTTCTTGGGAAATAAAAGGCTGGCGACCGAACACCAGCTTTTCCAGCCGCTCTTCCTCGCCGGGCTCTCCATCTCTTCTTTCCTTATCTATAGTGAACGTGTCAGAGGAAGATAAAGCTTTACTGGCCTCAGAAGAATGGGTTTTTCGTCTGAGAAGCAACATCTTGTCACCACGTGGTTAAGAGGTATAGTGGGTGTGGCTAATAAATAATTAAAAATAATAATAGTTATTATTATTGTTTTAAAAATCATTAAGAAATTGTGCAGTGCAATAAAAACAAATTCATAGCTATTTGCATTCATTATGACTTTCCAAGGATCCTTCTTTGCTACACTCTCCAACTTACAACATACTCATGATAGGGGGCTGCTCTTAGGGAGTGTCTTGCTGTCTGGTTGCAAAGAGCTGATGGTGTGGATAAAAATGGAGGAACTAACTATGTATCACTAGCTAATGCTGTAGAGAGATTGGGACAAAGAGCTGGAGCTGATGACATACGAAGTGAGTTATAATAATTGTATTAGTAGATTAGCTGAGGGAAAGGGACAATGGTATTATTATTATTTACATGTATAAGGATTAAATTCACTATTAATTTATAAAATTGTTATTATTATTATTTTTAATTATTTTAGGATAATGTGGAATTGAAACAGCACAAGAGGATGCCCCTGTCATTAGTATGTATTAATTAATAATAATTATATTTATTAGTTTATTAAGAGACTGGAGGGAGGAGCCCAGTGACTCCATTACCAGTACAGGAAGACAGTTACATTGCAGAAGAAGAAGAAGAAGAGAAACCATCAAAGAAAGAAGATGAAGATGAAGGAGAAGGAGGTAAATGAATTAAACAATTATTAGTATTAAGGCCCCTATACACTAGGCAATGCTATTGCAGGCAATCTGTGGTTACTTTGATCTTCAGGCCTAGAATAGAAACCTGTTCTATTCCAGGCAACACATTGCTTGCAACGTCAAAGTAACCACAGATTGCTTGCAATAGAATTGCCTAGTGTATGCTGGCCTTTAATGTACTTATGCTGTATAGAAAGTTTGAGCTGATTCCGAGCCAAAATTTGAAAAAACCCCTGTACTATTATATATATATATATATTATTAAAAAAAAAACAGAACGGACAAAGAAAACCTCATGTTCAGTATTGTATAGCCTATCGTTGTTTGAAAAAATGGCTCCAAATTTACTTCCAACTTTTATTATATTTTCTGATACATATTGATGTACTTATGCTGTGTAGAAAGTTTAAGCTGATTCTGACTTCAATTTTTCGAGTTACAGCCATTTTAAAAAATGGGCCAAAATCTGAAAAAATCCCTGTACTATAGCCCATGGTTTTTCCAAAAAATATTACATTTTCTGATACATATTTACATGTACATGTATATTATCATTATTTATTATTACTATTAATAATAATAATAATTATTATTATTATTATCATCATTATTATTATTAAAACAGAAAGAGCACTTAGATGTAGGATGAACAAAAATTAGTGAAGAAAAATAAATATTATTATTATTATTATTACCGTAGATCAGGAATTTAGTGTGGTAGAAAATTTTTAAGTTTTAAAATTGTGCTGTGATTTAATTTTTACTAAATTAGACTGTGTCATTTATTATTGAATGTGGCATCTAATTATATGGGTAATCTGTTTTTTTGCGAAATTCTAATCCAGTAAATTTAAAATCACAGTAACAAGCGTAACAGTGTAAAAAATATTCCTATAATTGATTTCACCACCTTGCAAGTACAACTTGGTCATTATTAAGACTTATAGAGGTTGTCTCTACCTTATAATGCTTCTAGAGAAGTCTTTAGACAGTATCTCTATGCTCTCTTGCTGTTAGAAAGCTCTTAACTTTGCTCCCATTTGTAAGCCGCCATTTTGTTTGCCGTGGCCACACCCACTCACGTAAAGGAACATGGGCGGGTGGTTGCTAAGGCTGTTATTTCTCCAATACAACGTGTATAGAAGAAATGTAAGTGTGGACATACAAATAAATAATTATAATATACATAGCGCGACGGTGAATTCAATTATAGGAACGACCTGGGGGCTTCGCCCCCAGGTTGTTAAAAAATTTCCAGATTGATGGTATTATTATTATTATTATTAATAGGATTTCTCAATATCTACTGCTGAGGCTCATGGTCATTCAGTTATTATTGCTAATGATCCTGATGCTGATAGACTGACCTTGGCGGAAAAACAACCGGGGAATACTAATGAGGGAGGGAAGGGCAACTGGCGAGTGTTTACTGGCAATGAGATTGGGAGCATGTTGGGCTGGTGGGCCATGGAAAATTTTAAGAAAATAACAAAAATTTTGATGGTAAGTCATCAAAAATTATTAGTAATTTGTATTAATTTTTTGTTATTATTTCAAAGGTTATAAAGTCCATTTAATATGCAGTACAGTTTCATCAAAATTATGATGATCAATAGCTAAAGTTGAAGGGATCCAGTTTTCAGTTAGTGGCTAGCGGGACAGTCTTTTATTGTAGCTCCTCCTCTTTCTCCTCCTCTTTTGTCTGTAGGAAACTCTCACTGGGTTCAAGTGGATGGGTAACTTAAGCCACACCCTCCTTGAGAAAGGAGAGGAGGTTCTCTTTGCTTTTGAAGAAGCAATAGGAGTCATGTTTGGTACTACAGTACTGGATAAAGATGGAGTAAGTGAGTGGAGCTGCTGTGACTGGAGAAATGGCCGCCTACCTTTACTCTAATGGAGAGAAATTCTCTTCACTGTTAGAAGACATTTATTTAAATATGGTCGAGTTGTCTCAAGCAATTCTTATTTCATATGTCACTCAAAAGAAGCGATAAAAGAAGTCTTTGATGGACTGAGAAAAGATGGACAAATCATTATAATGAGGTAGTGTATTTTGAATAAAATCTCTCTCTCTTTCTCTCTCAGCACCTAGTGTACCAATTACATTCCTTAATGTATAAATTAACCTCCACATAAAGGACACCTTCGTATAACAGAGACACTTTTTCTTGGTCCGAAGTGTCCACTATATAGAGGCTAGTCTATACATGTACATGTAGTCCAGCCTGTCTGGAGGTGTGTGTGTATGAGTAATATAATGCCTAAGGACTGAGATATCTGCTTGAGTGAAGATGTAGTGGGAGTACATGTATATTAGGGTACATTCCATAAAAGCAACAGCCAGTAGCAGCAGGTGTCACTGGTAATTAATAATGAATGAGCCATTAACCATGTACATGGTCTCAGTGATATACTGACAGAGAGAGAGAGATGTCATTAATTAGTTAAGTGTGTATCTACTAGGTACACATTCCTCAGTTGCTACTCCTATCTAGT